CGGAGAGGTGAAAAAAGTTTAGTCTTTAGGATACGTCTGTAATCTTGGGAACTGATCCCTCATTTCCAGGGATTCTGAACCATTTACTTCACGGTTGAATATTTTTAGGTGAAATTTCAGGTACATTTTTTGGTAGTCTCGACAGTTTCAGTGGTAATAGGAGACCTTCCCCGTGAGCTTTAAATATATCTGGATTGCAGGCCAGATAATAATGGAATTGCAATCGTTTTGTAATAATGCAACCCACAAAAATGGGTCTTTTGAATCAAATAAAAATCGTTATTTCATTTTTTTACTTATTTTATGAAAAGGGATTTAATTATGTTAAAGAAGTTATTTTTTTTTTTCAAATGAATAGTTTCCTTATTTTGCGAAAATTAGGTTTTCATGTATTTTGTGAAATAATTTCGAAAATTTTTTTCTAAAATATTCGTAGGCTATGTGGAAAAAAGTCGTATGAAGCTCTCTAAAATCATTCTGGTCCAATTTTTATAAATGAAGAATTTATTTGGATTAAAGAAAAATTTATTAATAGTAAAAAAAACATTTGTTTGATATAAACAATTCTTGGAATAGAAATTTTTATTTCATTTGAAAGAAAAAACTTTATTTGGTACTATTTGAACAAATTTATTTAGTTGATTTAAATTAATCATTTTTCTGGGTGTGAAGAATGACCTTAAAAATTAGGGCTTCAATCACTGAAATTTGGGGACAGTTTCTAAAAATAATGATTTTGTCTTCAATTCTTCAGATTATGTCACAGGAAGTGACAAAAATTTCAGATCTTCAAAAACAAAATCTTTTTTTCTCTGTAAAAAAAAAGAAAAGAGAAAGACCGAAAAGGATAGCACGAATATTGTTACCCGCGAAACACTCACCAAAGTTCAACAGAAGGTCAATTTGTCACCTTTATAAGCTTCAATGTGTCGCCGCACACCGTAAATACGCGCAATAAACGAAAAAGTATAGCGAACGATAAAAAAAATTGTCGAATTTGTCAAAAATCTACTGTATTATTAAAAATCTATTGTAAAAGAGAAGAATGATCCTAAAAATTAGGGCTTCAATCACGGAAATTTGAGAACAGAAAAATTTCAAATCTACCGAAAGAAAACCTTTTTTCTCTGTAAAAAAAAAAGAAAAGAGGAAGGAAAAAGAAAGCATGAATATTGTTACTCGCGAAACACTCACCAAAGTTCATCAGAAGGTCAATTATCACCTCTATAATCTTCGATGTGTCGCCGCAACCAGTAAATGTGCGCAATAAACGAAAAAGTAGAATAAATGAGGAAAATAAATGTCGAATTTATCAAAAATCTATTGTATTATTAAAAATGTATGTTTGCAATGTGTTGATGGGACCGAAGCGATGACACTTCCTCGCCAGATCATGAGACCATGCTCCCCCTGAACTTTAAATATATCTGGAGCACATGCCAGATGATGGGTAAAACCGTCGTCACGATGTTGAGCTATCGACACTGCTCGATTGGCCAGCGTTTATAAACTTCCAACACTACCCAGAGGTCGAGTGGTGCTCGTAACAGCGATAAGTTATCACTTCCCTGGCACATCACCCATTTATCATGGTGTCCACCGGGTTGTAGCGATTGAAACGAATTACCGGATCATTGTTTTCAGCCCCGCCACCCCGGAGTTTATTAAGCCGCTAATGAGCGCAATGATAGGATAGGTAGGGTGTCCTGTGCAGTTTATCATTTAAATGAGACATGATTGAAATTTATAAGGATGAGAATTGCCGGTGGGAAAAAATTACTTGAGAGGCATTAATTGTTTTTTCTGTCTCGCTTTGGGGGATTGTCTTTCTTTTATAGTTGGGGATACGGCGAATGGAACGAGTTTGGGGAGAAGGTACGAGTAATGTTGCACGGAGAGAAATATTCAGTAAAAATAACGGAACAATTCACGTAATTCGCAATGGGGAATCGTTTTCCGGCAATTTTTATAGGAATGAAAGAAGTAATCTGAAACGTTCAGTGAATTTTCAGGTTCACCACCGAACAAAGTACGAAATTGTCACGTAATTAAGTGAATTAAGTGAATTTTCCCTTACAATAGCTGAAAAATTTGAAATTCCACTGAATTTTTAGTGAAATTTAACATTATATTATCTCCCCCTTAAAGCGAATTCAATGTCATTTAACTCGGGTCAAATATTTCCAATTTTTAAAATATCCACAGAATAATTGCAGTGAAATTTACAGTCTCCATTGATTTTCCCAACTTGTGATTTTTCAACGATGAAATTTCACTTTTAACAAATTTCAGGGGTGCACACCCGAAATGTCAGCCAGAAATGTAAAAAAAATTGGATGCTCATATATTATTAACCCGTGCAAATAATGTGAAAGGTTCAGCGCATCCCTTCACCAGTCCAACGACCCGAAATTATCCATAATTATAAATAGCCCTAGCCCGCCTGCAAGAACTCCACACCTAAAGCTTCTGAGTGCCCACATAATTATAAATAACCCGAAGGATAAGCCAGTTGTTAAGGGACAGGGGAAAAGTATAATTTACGCGGCTCTCAGGTTCGATTGTTAGTCACAGATCGCCTGATAAGACTCGGATTAAAGCAATGACAGTGTAACAAATCGCCTGGCAATGCAAATCTCGAAGCTCCTTGTAACATTTGTTGCCAGTTATGTATCCATTCGGGTATTGATTGTTTTTCATCATCACTCGAGCCGATTGCGAAGTTTTTCAACACTGAATAGTCGCAATAATGCGTACACCTGCTCGAACGTGGGTATATAATGCAGTCCTCGTTTCTTTTGTAATAATTAGCTCCCCTTTACATGCAATTACCGGCGCCTCAGGAACAAGATCAACTGAAATTCCTACGCAATAATTTTGATCATTTACATTCGTTAGAATTCATGGGTATAATGAATGAATAAGTGATTTGGAGTGGAACAGAATAGAGTTACGACCCGGAATTTAAATTTTTCTATTACGTGCAATATATATTTCTTTAGATACCGGATCTTTCTAAAAGCACGAGTCGAGTGCCGTTGCTCCCCTTTCCCCTTACTGAATGCCATAATGCTGGAGTTGATCTCCTACTTTTGGAAATTGAAATTTCCGGTAGACTCTTTGGAGACTTTTATCGGGTGACAGTTCCACTGAAATTTCAGGAATGGTTCAGGGATGAATTGGTTATTTGCACAGAATAATTAACGTGCAATTTTCAGTTTTCATTGATTTCCTCGCCGAGTTGTGATTTTACAATGAAAAAATTTACCGAAATTTTACGAGAAATGTCATGTTTTTGAAATTTCAAGGATCCACACGTGAAATGTCCGCTGAAAAGTTCGAAAGCTCCATTCAATGATAGTTTTGAATTCCAAAACATCAATAATGATTTCGAATAATGAGATCCGACGTTAAATTCCACTCAAAAAGTCGATGGAAACTGTGAATTTCAGTTCAACTATTTTTCATAATTGAATGAAAATAATGAAAATTCAGGTGAATAATTAAAAATTCAGAGTAATTTAGTGCGAAATATTAATGTTTTGATTGAAAATTCCAGTAAATTGGAAAATTTTCATTTCAACAGAATAATTAACATGAAATTCACAGTTTCCATTGGCTTCCTCATCAAATTATGATTTCTCAATGAAAAAAATTACCAAAATTTCCCCGGAAATGTCACGTTTTGAAAATTTCAGGGATGCAGAGGTGAAGTGTCAGCCGAAAATGTCCAAAAAGCTCGAGTCAACGATTGCTTTGAATGTCAAAACATCAATAATGGTTTCGAATAGTGAGAGCCGACGTTAAATTCCACTCAAAAAGTTGGAAACTGGAAAGTTGGAAAATTCGGGTGAATAATTGAAAATTCAGCGTAATGTAGTACTAAATATTCATGTTTTGATTGAAAATTCCAGTAAACTGAAAAATTTTAATTTCCACAGAATAATTAACATGAAATTCACAGTTTCCATTGGCTTCCTCATCAAATTATGATTTCTCAATGAAAAAAATTACCAAAATTTCCCCGGAAATGTCACGTTTTGAAAATTTCAGGGATGCAGAGGTGAAGTGTCAGCCGAAAATGTCCAAAAAGCTCGAGTCAACGATTGCTTTGAATGTCAAAACATCAATAATGGTTTCGAATAGTGAGAGCCGACGTTAAATTCCACTCAAAAAGTTGGAAACTGGAAAGTTGGAAAATTCGGGTGAATAATTGAAAATTCAGCGTAATGTAGTACTAAATATTCATGTTTTGATTGAAAATTCCAGTAAACTGAAAAATTTTAATTTCCACAGAATAATTAACATGAAATTCACAGTTTCCATTGGCTTCCTCATCAAATTATGATTTCTCAATGAAAAAAATTACCAAAATTTCCCCGGAAATGTCACGTTTTAAAAATTTCAGTGATGCAAACATGAAATGTCAGCCGAAAAGTCCCGAAAGCTCGATTCCCCGATAATTTCGAGTCTCAAACTAATAGCAACTATTTCGAAAAATTCAAGCTCGAATTTAATTTCAAAATGTTCTTGACCCTTTGCCACCCGCCGCACCATCCTTAACCGCGGTTGGTACGTTCTCAACAGTCAGTAAGCCTACCTTAAGCCAGTAAAGCACTGATCTCGACTTACCTGTCGAGCGAAGCGGGCTAATCGAGCAGCTTTCGATTTTCCCAGGAACGTACTCACTCGAGTGAAAATGAAAAAAAAATCTTCCCCTGCAATTTCCACTGAATTTACCATCTCAACATTTCTCCGAACGTCTCGAGACCCTCGTGAACGTTCCGAACGTTCTTTCCATCGATCTCCAACTATAGGATAATGTGATCAATTATTAATGAGCCAGTGGGGGCACTCGGGTGCGAGTGAAACGTGCCTCCTTAAGCGCACCACCAACACTATCAAAGCCCCTGGCTCCAAATGGTCTGTCTCCCCCCACCAATCTCGAAAATCGAGTCCGGGGCTGGCATCCCGTGTCCCCTCTGACTCACTCAGTCGCTCCTTGTCCAGCGAGGGGGTACGTTTCGCGCTTGAATTTCACCCCAAAAGTCGCTGATTGAATTAAAGTGCATTTACCGATTCTCACAAGCTCCGATAAACTATCAAAGCCGTCATCATTGTACAGTGATTCTAACTGGGGTAACAGGGGGTACAGGAGCTTCGAACCACCCCTCAGTGTAGGTCAGAAATGAGGGACATGGCGGGTAAAATATCCGAGTTGAAGTTCGAGGCTCCCCTGGCACGCTTTGAGGAAGAGGACACGGCCAGTCTCAAGAACATGAATTTGCTGACAGGTGCGTTTCGATCGAAAATAAATTCCACTGCATCATCAAATGGCATGGAAATGAATGGTATTGGGGATTAGAGGGGGGGGAGAGAGATGAGTCGAGTTTATGAACTCTTTTTTCGCTGGATATCTCGGGGTGAAGAGGTGGCGACATTTCTGCGGATTTCGATTCCTTTTTGGGAGATAGTGGAGTCGAGAAGGGCTTGTTTAGGAGATCATTTATCGCGGTTTGACAATTTTGTATTTAGTTGGGTGTTTTTGTTTAGATTATTTTGAGAACTTTTTTTTTTGTTTGAATTCGATTTTAGTGCATCATTAAAAGTAATGGGAATTATTGGGAGGAAATGAGGGAATGAGTGGATTTTTTGTTGAGTATTTGCGGATGAAGGGTGAGAGTTATTGTATTTATTTTGTAGTTTTTGTTCAGATTATTTAAAAATGGTTTTTTATTGGAGTTGAATTTTACTGCATTGTGGGACAATGAGTGGAAATTTTTGCTGAATATTTCTGAATGAAGGATGGTGACATTTTTGCGGATTTCGATTTCGTTTTGACAGATATTGGGGATGAGAAGGGCTTTATGATAACCCCTTCATCTTCAAGCTCGGACATATTTAGGAGATTATGTCTCTCGTTTTGACAGCTCAGTGTTTATTGATTAGTTTTTAGGTGAATTATTTTTAAAAGGTTTTCTTTCGCTTGACTTCAATTTTATTGCATCATCAAGAGTCATGGGAATGAATGATGGGAATTATTGTGGGAAAATGAGGGAATGAGTGGATTTTTTGTTGAGTATTTGCGGATGAAGGGTGAGAGTTATTGTATTTATTTTGTAGTTTTTGTTCAGATTATTTAAAAATGGTTTTTTATTGGAGTTGAATTTTACTGCATTGTGGGACAATGAGTGAAAATTTTTGCTGAATATTTCCGAATGAAGGATGGTGACATTTTTGCGGATTTCGATTCCGTTTTGACAGATATTGGGGATGAGAAGGGCTTTATGATAACCCCTTCATCTTCAAGCTCGGACATATTTAGGAGATTATGTCTCTCGTTTTGACAGCTCAGTGTTTATTGATTAGTTTTTAGGTGAATTATTTTTAAAAGGTTTTCTTTCGCTTGACTTCAATTTTATTGCATCATCAAAAGTAATGGGAATGAATGATGGGAATTATTGTGGGAAAATGAGGGAATGAGTGGATTTTTTGTTGAGTATTTGCGGATGAAGGGTGAGAGTTATTGTATTTATTTTGTAGTTTTTGTTCAGATTATTTAAAAATGGTTTTTTATTGGAGTTGAATTTTACTGCATTGTGGGACAATGAGTGGAAATTTTTGCTGAATATTTCTGAATGAAGGATGGTGACATTTTTGCGGATTTCGATTCCGTTTTGACAGATATTGGGGATGAGAAGGGCTTTATGATAACCCCTTCATCTTCAAGCTCGGACATATTTAGGAGATTATGTCTCTCGTTTTGACAGCTCAGTGTTTATTGATTAGTTTTTAGGTGAATTATTTTTAAAAGGTTTTCTTTCGCTTGACTTCAATTTTATTGCATCATCAAGAGTCATGGGAATGAATGATGGGAATTATTGTGGGAAAATGAGGGAATGAGTGGATTTTTTGTTGAGTATTTGCGGATGAAGGGTGAGAGTTATTGTATTTATTTTGTAGTTTTTGTTCAGATTATTTAAAAATGGTTTTTTATTGGAGTTGAATTTTACTGCATTGTGGGACAATGAGTGGAAATTTTTGCTGAATATTTCTGAATGAAGGATGGTGACATTTTTGCGGATTTCGATTTCGTTTTGACAGATATTGGGGATGAGAAGGGCTTTATGATAACCCCTTCATCTTCAAGCTCGGACATATTTAGGAGATTATGTCTCTCGTTTTGACAGCTCAGTGTTTGTTGATTAGTTTTTAGGTGAATTATTTTTAAAAGGTTTTCTTTCGCTTGACTTCAATTTTATTGCATCATCAAAAGTAATGGGAATGAATGATGGGAATTATTGTGGGAAAATGAGGGAATGAGTGGATTTTTTGTTGAGTATTTGCGGATGAAGGGTGAGAGTTATTGTATTTATTTTGTAGTTTTTGTTCAGATTATTTAAAAATGGTTTTTTATTGGAGTTGAATTTTACTGCATTGTGGGACAATGAGTGGAAATTTTTGCTGAATATTTCTGAATGAAGGATGGTGACATTTTTGCGGATTTCGATTCCGTTTTGACAGATATTGGGGATGAGAAGGGCTTTATGATAACCCCTTCATCTTCAAGCTCGGACATATTTAGGAGATTATGTCTCTCGTTTTGACAGCTCAGTGTTTATTGATTAGTTTTTAGGTGAATTATTTTTAAAAGGTTTTCTTTCGCTTGACTTCAATTTTATTGCATCATCAAGAGTCATGGGAATGAATGATGGGAATTATTGTGGGAAAATGAGGGAATGAGTGGATTTTTTGTTGAGTATTTGCGGATGAAGGGTGACAGTTGTTGTATTTATTTTGTAGTTTTTGGTCACGTTATTTTGAAAATGTTTTTTTATTGGAGTTAAATTTTACTGCATCATCAAAAGTCATGGGAGTAAATGATTCCTTGTGAAAAAATGAGGGACTGAGTGCAATTTTTTGTTGAATCTCGGAGTGAAGAGGCGGCGACATTTCTGCGGATTTAGATTTCTTTTTGGGAGATGTTGGAGTCGAAAGAACTTGATGATAATCCCTCTATCTTCAGGTTCCGAAATATTTAGAAGATTATTTATCTCGTTTTGACAGCTCTGTATTTATTAATTTATTTTTAGTTGAAGTATTTTTTTAATGTTTTTATTTGCTTGAGTTCAATTTCACTGCATCATCAGAAGTCATGGGAATGAATAATTTCTTGTAAAAAAATGAGGGACTGAGTGAAATTTTTCGTTGAATCTCTCGGAGTGAAGAGGCGGCGACATAATCCCTCCATCGTCAGGCTCCGAAATATTTAGGAGCTTATACATCTCGTTTTGACAGTTCCGAATTTATTTAGTAGTTTTTCTTTGAATAATTTTTAAAATATTTTTTTTGTTCAAGTTAAATTTTACTGCATTATCAAAAGTCATGGGAATAAATGATGGGAATTATTCTGGGAAAATGATGGAATGAGTGAAATTTTTGGTTGAATATGTAGGGATGAGGCTCCGAAATATTCAGAAGATTATTCATCAAGTCCCGACAATTCACTATTTGTGTATTAGTTATTTTTGTCGAAGTTATTTTTAACAACTTTTGTTTGGAGTGAAATTCCACTGCACCATCAAAACTCGTGAAAAAGAAAGCGGATTTCTGATGCGGCGAAACGAAATGAGTGAATTTCTACAGCAGCGTTTCGCCTAACGTCTAGAAAAGTGGAGATGACAGTCCCTCGATCTCCGAGATATTTAACGATAAATCTGTTGTGGAGTTCGACTGACAGAATCTATTCAAACACTTCACAAGAAACCATACAAGCCTTTTTGCAAATCCTTAATCTCTCCAGTTTTCCCTCATGGGGTGACCAATCTGGGGTTAAAATGATATCGGCAATGTCTTTTTTTAGAACAATTATTGGACGCAAGTATCGACGTCGATTTCGGCGAGAACTGCAATGCAAATGACGTGACTACAGGCCACGAAAGTGGCACTGACATCCTCCAAGAGGGCACCTTCAGTCCCTTCAGTGGAAGTCTCGAGGATCTCGTCAACACCTTCGACGAGAAGATAACATCCTGCTTCAGAGATTATGCCACAGATGTTGAGACCCTAGCGCCAGTTCAAGTGAGAACTCAAGAGGAGATAATGAACGAGTGCCAGTGAGTGGAAAAATTTTTCATTGTTTTCGTTTTAAATTTCCCTTTGGTCTCGTCTTCCCTTGGGCAATTTAG